GATTTATCACATTACAATCAATCTAAATCGTAATCTAAATAATTAAATTACTAATTAAACTTAAAGAGCAGCATTCATATTCGGAAGATCTTGACAATAATGTTATCTTTTACTGTATTTGGTAAATTATTGATAAAACCATGTACCACTTTAACATAATTCATGGGACCAAAGATTTTTCTTTGCGTTACTTCAATCAAAACGGATTACTTCCTCCGATATAAAGTAATATTTAACCCCTTTATTTTGACTTTAATATTTACTTTTTATCATATTCTACTTTGCGCAAAAAAAAAAAAATTATTCAATATGGAAGATATTTCCATGAAAGAGCATTGCGAAGAGTGTAATAAGTCTAATATCGATTATGATTGGTGTCAAACATGTAACGCTAAAAGTTTCAACGAAATGAAAATTGGACTAGTGGCAAAACCGATCATCTTATTAAAAAAACATAACGCAAAGCAAAGAACCATAAAGAAGTAATAGAATGGATCAAATATGATAGACTAGAAGATATGTATGTCTCGTTTGGCAAAAGGAGGATTTAAAGAGATCTTTAAAGCAAAATGGAAAGATGGATTTATAGACAAATGGGATACTATAAAAAATCAATGGAAAAGATACCTCAATGAAGCTGTTGCTTTAAAATTTTTGCGCAATTCGCAAGATATTACAGATGAATTTTAAGCGAAGTAAGATAATTTTCTCATAAGACTCAATAGAAAATCTTTTATAAATAACATATTAACTGTTATGAATAATCTTTTTTCAGATCAAGTCACATATTGAAATGAATGATTCAGGTCGCGTCATTCAATTGTATGGCATTACCAAAGTTCCAAAACAAATAACTTTGTGATAGTAATGGAATATGCAGAAAATGGCACTTTAAAACAATATCTGAATAAATGCAAGCCCATGGATTGGTTGAATAAATTGATAATTTTACGTCGCATTGAATTTGGTCTTGAAGAAATTCATAATATAAAATACATTCACTGTGATTTTCATTGTGGTAATATTTTAAGCCTCGGAAAAAAAAAGATTTAAGATTGTGTCGACCAGTAAATCGGCCAAATGACGGTATATAGCTCCTGAAATTTTAAGAGGAAAACCGTATTCTCAAGCTAGTGACATTTATGCATTTGGAGTTGTAGCATACGAAGTAATGACTGGATTTCCTCCTCATGATGTGCCCCGCCCCATGACTTTCCTTTGGCTATACAAATCTGTGAAGGGTTGAGACCAGAATCTAATTATAAAGTTCCTCAACAAATTTTAGAAAGTGTTGGGATGAAGATCCTTTAAAGCGTCCTAAAGCAAATGAATTATACGTAAATTTAAAAAACTAAAAAAGACCAGACCATAAAGATAATAATTCATTAATTTATAAACAAGTTCAAGAAACTGATAAAATTATATAAACAGTTTTCTTGTTATTTTGTTTTTTATAAATTAAATAAATAATAAATTATCTCACAACAAATAAATTATCGATGCTGCTTCTTTATATTATCTCTCAAAAAAATTAAAATATCGTACAAAATAAGATATTGGGCCGTGACGACATATCGATCGGTCTGACGAATTGGTTCAATATGACGGATCGTTTATAGTTACCTCTAACTAGTTGCAAATCATTTATAAATACTAACCTTTATAAAATAATTCATTTCCACTGCATTATGTTCAAGATTATGGATATTAGTTTCAAGCAAGCACATTTATTAGACCTAGAAAAGATAGAGTGTATTCATGTCATACAAATTTAGTTATTAACAAATATATTGAAATTAGCACAAAACAAAAAAAAATAATAATTTTTTTTCTAAAGAATGATTTTAAAAAAAAGACTAGACAAGAGAGAGAGAGAGACAAGGTCTTTATTAATTATATGAGGAAAGTAATGTTTTTTTTTTGTATTGTCAATTAACCCAAAAAAAATTTTGTTTCATGGATTAAAAATACTAATCGTGTGAATGAAGAATTGTCACTGCTCGCATTTTAAAACCAATGACGTAGTAAAATATTCAATCGGGTATTCAAAATTAAAATATCACTTTAGATCTTCGAATATCATTTGCCTATCCGTTTTAATATAAAATTTACATGAATCATGTGTGTCTAATCAATATTTTTAAAGAATAAATGCTTGCTCTTAGCCAGATATAGATGAATCTATAACTGTTTCTCCTGGACACC